ATCTTGCAGGGCGAAGTATACTACCAGCCTCACGTGGTTTGGCTAACTGTTGACTTACAGAACTTAAACGCCCAACGTTCCTTCGTAATTTTGTTCTTTCCACTGGTTTTCAGCACTCAGACTTTCACCTGCTTGGACATCAGTGTCCGTTGGGCACAACAAAGGTATACAATTTATGCAAGGTGAAACTGGGCTTCTCACAACGGTTGGACTTCGTTCCGGTGAGTTTGCACGGGTAGAGGAGGGAGACTGAGCTGAAACCTGAAGGCTCTTCAGGTTAGGTTGTTTGGCCAAACACCCGGCGCTGTTCGCAACGAAATGCTGAGACGTACACGTCGGCTTTACTCTCTCTGGCTGTATCTTATTTCGGCACTTTTCACATATGGTTTGGACGAAATCGTGTTGGATCTCGCGAAGACGATAGCAATGCTCAACTGACAGTCTAACACATGAAATGTGGTACTTACCTTTGCACAAAACACACGTGAGAGCATTTGCACGGTATCCGACTAGCTTGGAGCAAGTACCACATGATGACTGCTTCGACATTGTGAATAATCCGAAAACAAGATTGCGGCCATTTGACGGAGAAATGGCGATAGCAAGATCGCCGAAACCAAGCGATGAAAACACAAGTCTTTCTGGTCGGAAATTTCAGAATCAGAAATGAAACTGCATTGTATCTAAATTTTCACGAAATACTTCCAATAAACACAGAAAGCCAACACGAAGTGATCTTGTCAACACAGCCAAAAATAACCGACCGGAGGTCGCTATCCGCAGTTACTGGCACGCCCCACCCGCATGTCGCTGTGGAAGTATTCAGTTAGACGCCACCTTACCCCACTACATCCCAACGCACCCGATGGCATCAGGACTCGTTGTGGTTCACTGTGTGAAGTCTTTGTGAATTGGACGGACAGCTAGTACAATGGCTACTTTTGTTCGCTAAACCTCTCCTACAGATGACGAGCCGCGATCATCATGTCGATTTCTATTCTGCCCCGAGGGAAGTCGCACTTCTCTTTAGCCACATTTGGTAGGACGTGAGTAATAAGGTGGTTGAGCAGTATTCGGCCAATCACCTTCCTGCTGCGTCTTATCTTGTTGGCACTACGATAATTGTTGGCACGCCACATGCTTCATTTGACATTGTTCAAGTGTAGTGGTAGCGAATCATTTAGTTCATCATGGACTCCTCATCCGTCCAAACGCGTTTCACCTTCTGTGGCAGTGCATGTGGCATCACTGATCAGCCGCTCCCTTATTCTACTGTTAATATTCCGAGAACCTCTACGCAATTTTCGTTTCACGGATCTATAACTACTCTGGCTTTCATACGACCACTTGGGATCCGCAGGACTCGTCTTATAATGAATTAGGAGATAATTGGCAACACATAGACCCCACAGAGGTGCTGATTTAAAAGAGGCAGAAAAGCGATACCGTCAAAACTTCGGATGTGATTGAAGGCCATAAGGGGTCCAATAATAACAGAGCTTCTTTAAAACGTATATGCAGTTGCGCGCCCATACAATCGGAAGCATGACGGAGGTACTGTATACAGGAGGTGAACTGCGGATGAAGCGAAAACAAGCGTCTTTACAAAGTATAAAATAGTGGATCAAAAAGTCCTGTGGAAAACGATCAAACAGGGTTACAAGGGGAGCAGACATACACTAGACAAACAGCGCATGTTATGAGAAGCTCACACATTGCATTCCGAGAGTCATAAGACTCGTTAAACTGTCGACTTTAGGCGTTCCCTTCCATTAGATTAGTCTTCTGCGCCCCCTATGGTTCACCGGAACTCACGAGTCTACCGCCGACACATCTTGCAGTAATTAACTTTCTTCACCGAGTTTCCGATTTTCCATACATGCGAAACAAATACCGCCTTCTTCTTTGACATTAATGTTGACGCTGTTGTCGGGTCGCTTACAGTTTTCGCACTTGATCGCCTCAGCGGCAGTGGTCACCTGCTCCTTAAGGTGGTGGCAGAATCAGTGGAGCTTACTTCGCCTAGTCTTGTCGCCATCATCTTCCCCGGTTTGCGCCGACATTCACCGGTGTCTAGTTATTTCCACCTATTTTCAGCAAGGAATCATTACATGGATCTACGACAATGGTTGTATATTTACATCCATGCCGACTTGTGCTCAGCTCCGCGTAGTACATGTGTTATGCGCACTTCACGCATATCGCGCTAATGTGCGATGATGATGTCGAGCAGGTGGGCTTGACTACTTCGTGGTTACTTCAAGGTGACAATATGATGGACAGTGCGTGTTTGTGCTCGTCAACTCGTGAATGGTACATAGTGGAAAGAGGCCACCACCGTTCCCGTTGACTTGCCAAATGCTATATGGCCCGATTACGTCTGTGCGCACGGTGTCATGACGCCCAGCGCGGGTTAGGAGCACTCAGAATAGGCGATCACTCTTCTGCATCACGGAGAATAACTGAGGGTACGACAGATCCCTCGTGTCATTAGGATAGCATTTGGTGAGACTATGCGTGCTAATAAAAGTGGTAAACATACCTCTTCCTAGTCGTAGGCAATGTATCGCAAATCGTGTGCTGATACCAGTCGGTTTTCCCACCGGCTGGCCATTTAGGCGGTCGGATAGCGCAAGTGCGACCCCATGTTCACGTGGGTCTGTGGTGGCGCTGCCCATTCAGTAGGACATGTAACCTGCACCAACCTCATGCTGCTTGCATTGGTCAGCGAGCCGAGTCTCACTGAGTGCTGCAATGTCGACTCCGTAGTGTGCGAGTTCCATCGCTACCAGTACAGTGCGTCGCTCGGGACGCTCACTCGTGTTCCAGTCGAGTTGTGTGTGCACATTCCAGCACCCGATGTTAATCGCTTTTCGCGGAAGCATACGATTGCGGTGACGGGCAATGGCGCACGCGGTCAACTGGATTAGAGGAAGTAGTGGGCTAAGTGAAATGGTGACAGGGAGCGAATGTGCCTCAAACGACGAAAGAAGGAGGTGCCAGTGGTATCTTGTTTTCGCATTTGTACCCCGATGTAAGCAGCAAATATGCCAACTCTTTTCTATCCACCAAACACTACGCGGCGGCCGATGCAGCATGGCATTCTCAATATTTATGGGTTTGATTTTGGACTGGTGTACTACCAAGGCGTTCACACCTGACAGGAGAACGACCGTAGTCTCATCTAAAACCTTCTCTAGAATGCCCATTTGAAAGGCAGCGGGCCGAGCGCTATGAGACAATGAACCGACTCCTACGGGATTGTGTGTCTTGGCTTTTACCTAGAAGAAGGAGGTAATCCAACTCCTGCGCATTGGTCGCTACGGGAGGGTGTCTAGGGTATGAACCCACAGCACAATATTGGGAGCAGTGGGTCGACGATCTGTCCGCGACTTGCCACGACAAGCCTCAACGCACCATGGCCTCCATCGGGACAGTCACAAGACGCCTGCGCCTACACGGGTGGCTTGCACTGCACCACCCGCTGCTCCATGCACACACCCTATATCCAGTTTAAATCCGAAGGAATACCACCGGGAGGAATGTGGGTTGGAGCCACGTTTCATCAATGGAGCCGGCCCACACTCCTTCAACATGGGCAGCAACATTCATGTCCATTTGTGAATCATGCATAGCAGACGTGCACAAAGTGGTGCTTGGGCCGCGGCCCGTAACATCGTCACGCGATTTGCAACCCGTTCCATCCAACAGCGACCAGTTGTGTCCTCGAAAACTTGACCTACTATTGCGCATGCCTGTATGCATAACGCATATCACTTTGTGTTTAGCGATAAGCCGCAACATACAAAATAAATGCTGTGGGAACCATCGGACACATAAAGCCGTTGAGGACATGTCTATCACTCTTCGATTGGACTTATGGATGAATCCCTAATGCAGAAGAATATAATTGGAATATTCCATCGATGTGCAAAACTGAATTTTAAGGATGAACAGGATAGCTAACCGAATGCGTGCCGCACTCACTGGGCAATTAGGCGCACCGGGCATACTCGTCCGCCTGCGCAACTGCTGCGATCGAATTATCAACTGAATTTTGGTGTTCTGCTTTCTACTGTTTGTATGTTGGACAATTAACCTCATACATTGTACTCAGATGTTTTTGTTTTTGCCGACACATTCCTATACCTCTTCTTCTTTTATTTTTCGAAATGCTCACACACTGCGAGCCATTGTTTTACATTTCGAATCCTCGAATTTGGCAGCCATCTTTGCGTGTTGATTATACCGCAATTACTTTAACCAATCATCCTCTATTCTGCACTAAATTTTTCCCTTTGGTCCTGCTGTACATAATGTGTTTCTGATTTTTTATTCAGATCAACGTCCCTATTCATGTGAATACTGTAAACAATCGTTTACCGAGAAGAACCGTGTGCGAAAACATATCGAAATCGTTCATTTGAGTGAGTGCATAATTTGATTTTATGGCTTGCGTTGTAGCATCGCTGACTAATTTGCTTGGCTTCGGTGCTATCAACGCTGTTGTCGGTGTCGGCTTCATTCGCTGTTGTCTCTACATCATCCAGAGACATCTTTATTTGCATGAAGTTTAATTTGCCTAACATGATGGTGTGCGGGTGAATGCATTAGACCATTCCACTCTAAACGTACTGGTCTCTGGTGACTCAGTCTCTGACTTCAAATACGGTTCGAATTTGTCGAGGTTTGCTTTGCGGATAATCGTGATCTGGGTTGAGCTTGCATGTCCAGTCACTACGGATACTCCCGACAGCAGTACGTCAGTCATTTGAATTGATGCTTTGCTGACGTACAACCACAATGACCCATGTAACGATGAATAATATGTGGGAGAGATGGTAGACCTATCGTGAAACTGTTGTGCCCCATGCAAACTTACAGGGTCACGTCGCCTACATGTTTTCAACAAAATAGCTCTTTTCTACGTTGCCTATTCTCCTACATTTTTATTGCGGCACGGTAGCTGAGCGGTGTTTCTCACCCTCGGCTATCATGTAATGATGATGATGGTTGTTGTTGTTGTTGTGATGGTGATAATGATGATGAGGATGATGAGTTTTGCAGTCAGTGACATCACTTCTGACACGCGGACCCCTATTAACCGGTTTCATAAAGGACGAGCAGATGGCAACTTCGGGCGGGAACACACAATCATCGGTTGGAATACATTGCGATCGTTCACTAACCAGCGCATCCGACTCAAATTCAGGTTCTCAGTAGTCCTTAACATCAATCTTCTTCGCTTGCAACATGCGCATGCTCGTTTAAGCCGACTCCATGAAACGAGTGCGGGATTCAGCTCTTTGAAGCTTCTCAACATCAGTAACATTAACATCATCAAGAGAATCACCAGAAACGGACATGATTACCCTATTCAACTTATGTACCAACTACCCGAAGCGTAAACTAAGTACCTCGTATGAAAACTAAACTAGAAACTACGAACAAATAAACCTAGACTTAACGCACGGTCTGGGTAAAAGAATGAAATGAATTATCCTGTAACCGTGGTTGAATAGGTTTTTCAATCGTAATGCAAGTGGACAGAAACTGTACAGCGTGGGGCGGAGCGAGTATTTGGGCAGTGTCACAGTAACATAATAATATGAATGACCTTGAGACGTCAAGGATTTATCAGTGATCTAGTGAAAGGAGTAAATATACGATATGGTAACCGTTTGTAGGACACATTAAAGCTATGCAAAATGGGCAGAATAATTAGGGAATAGAAATACCATGTCCTCATGTAAGTAATCCAAGTTGGGGATAAATCAAAGTTCCTTTTGGACTTTACACTGTCCGGCGGTCTCGTATTCCGGACAATGGTTTCCACTTCATTAGTCTCTTCTTCCTGGTACACTTCTACTAGGCATAGCTGTCTGACGTCTCTTTTCAATACACCTTTGCTTGTCCTTATCAGTACTTGTCGAACTGCTTGGTCCTTGATCTTGATAACTTGCTCCACGACACCCTTAGGCCACAGACCTCTTGATGTGCGTAAATCACAAACTAAAACTCAATCGCCCTGTCTAAGATCTCGGATTTCAGTTAACCATTTCTGCCTGTTCTGCAGTGTCGGTAGATGATGTACTCTGATCCACTTACGCCAAAACATATCGGACAGATGTCTTACCTGTCTCCAACTTTTGCTCAATTCGATTGGTCGATATTCCAACGAGTGATCATTTGCAAGCGCTAATAGTTGCCGAGGCGATATAGCATCTTGCGAATCCGGGGAGTCGGGTACCGCTACCAAAGACCTGTCATTCAATATCCTTTCGATCTCGGTGTGTGTCGTTACAAGTACCTCTTCGGTTACAACCGCCGTTGAAAATGTAGTAATTCACGAGTCGATCGAATTCATCGTTCCCATAGACCTCCGCGATGGCTAGCACATGGAGGATTGAATTTCCAGTCAACCTCTCTAGCCAACATTGAATTTGTGATCTTTGTTTGCTCCAGCTGCTTCAGAACTACCATTGAGTCTGTCTAGAATGTTGTGCTACAATGGAGCGCCATCTCCTCTCTGACTTTCGCTGACATGCGCACGTTCATTACGGCAGCAGTGAGCTCCAACATTGGTACGGACACCGTTCTAATGAGACTGACACGTGATTTACTAATAAGCAGGAAACTACTAACGTTGCCTTCCTCAATCTCGCAACTCAAATATAGATCAGCGCCGTAACCAGCGTCAGACGCATCCGAAAAACAATGCAGCTGCATCCGAATGGATTAATACAACGTTCGACGGACAAGTTGTTCAGACCATTGGCGTTTGATAACCATTTGTTCCGATTTTACTGATCCTCTGTGGGAAGAGGCTCATCCCAATCCAGCTACTTTTTTTACGAAACTCTGTAACAGTACCTTTGCCGGAAGTAGCACGGGATCAATGAGGCCGAGAGGATCATAGACTGAAGCTACAAATGAGAGGATGGCTCTTCGGGTCAACGTTTTATTAAAAGCTTCCAGCTTAAGAGTTAGGTGGTCCTGAGTGACGTTCCAGTTTAAAACAAGCGCAGTTGTAGCACAATCGCCCTCAGTCGAATATTTTATTCCGGGAACCTTCAGTTCGCTGTCAGGTAAATGAGCGATCACCTTTCGATTGCTGATCCATTTCGTCCAATGCGAGCCTCCGTCGGACAGAATACGGCTTAGGTGTATAACGAGTTCAGTTGCTTCAGGAACAGAATCAACATTAAATAAACAATCCTCAACATAAAATCAGTTCTCTGCTACTTCCTTGGCATTAACCAATACTGTCAATGATAGCTTGTCGTAACGCAAAGCTAGCACAACTTGGTGACGAAGTAGCGCCAAACGGATGTACAGTCATGCGGTATTCAATAGGGGGTGAACAAAGATTGCTGTTCCTCCACCACAGGAACCTCGAACAATTCCGATCATTAATAGGAACCTTGACCTGATGAAACATCGCTTCAATGTCGGACGCGACAGCGATTGGGCGGAACCTGAACCGCAAAAGCGTCCACACTAGACTGTTTAACATATCGGGACCAGGTAGAAGTTGTTGATGACAATCGAAGACCACTCGCACTTTACCGGGCTTACGTGGATGCGATACCGAGTGGTGGGGTATATACCAGGTTTCCCCTTTAATCTGCTGTTCCTGTAATGGAGCGAGTTCAGCATATCCTCTAAATATATATTCTTCCACTGCCTTAGTGTATGCTTGGCGCAGTGCGGCATCCTTCGAGAAACGTTACTTCAACATGACAAGCCTCATCAGTGCGAATTGTCGGTTATCTGGTAACCGAGGTCTCCCGGCTTGCCATGGTAACGCAATCTCGTAGTGGGCACCAACCTTTTTTTAGTAGCTTCCATTAGTTTTAACGCGCGTCCGTCGTTCACAGACATGGCTAGTCGTGGACTATCTAGCCCGTCAAATTCCCTTTCATACATTTGCTCTAGTAGTTGATGAAGATCAGTGGTATCGCAGCGAAGTGAGTTGATCCTCCGTGTTCGATCAGCTATCAGTGATGTGGATTGATCCCTCATAGTCTCGTGCTGTGTGTTGGGTCCCAGTACGATGCAGCCCAAGAGAGTTTTAACAGCATGCGGATCATCAGGATCCCCGCGTCTCTTGTCTAATGTCCAGTGTATGTATGGGTTATCGCTGCTGCTGCTGCGTTGACACCGACTATGCACTTGTATGTGCCTACCTGCGGATACGCTTTGGCGAGCGTCCACGAGGACGTTGTGACCGCATTGACACCAGCCACCTGGCGAAGCCAGCTGTTTTGAATGGTTATCAAAGTACGCCGTCATGGGAGTTGAATAAGCGCTCACTGGATACCATTGAAGCCCACTGGTCTCAGATTCACCAGACCTTACTAGCAGCAGGAAAATCTTCATTTGGTATGTCTAATCGCCAACATGGACATTGGGTCTCTTCGCAGTTTCTGGAACTTATCGATGCTCGCCGGCATATTCCGGCTGGAAGCGAACACAATGCAGCTCGCAAATAGCTCCGGGCAAAACTCCGTGCTAACCTGAAGAGAGACCGCGAATCCTGGTGGTCTCATCGTGCATCAGAGATTAAATAGCCGCTGCCCTTGGTGACCATCGTAAGTTATTCCGTCTGATACGGGCATCAGGCAGTAGATGACCTTGTGTTGGTGATACAATTTGTGACGAGAGTGGACAGCCTCTCCACAACTTGCCAAAACACTTGGAGCATTTGGGCTGAGCACTTTGAAAGGCAATTTAATCGGCCGGAATTGTTAAATTTCTCGCCGGCCACTGATCGCCCCGCTCCGTGGACCGTCCCTTTGGATCCACCCTATCACTCAGAAGTCGAACATGAGATCGGACTTTTGAAATTCAATGAAGCCGCAGGACCAGATGATCTTCCTCCAGCCCCCTTCAAATTCGGGGGAACTGCTCTTGTGGATAATTTACACGAATTGCTAGTAAAACTGTGAGAGCAGGAAACTGTCCCAACCGACTGAAGCCGCTTCGTCATAGTCCCAATTTTCAAGCGAGGCTCACGATCGGAATGCGGCAGCCATAGAGGAATCAGTCTGATCTCCATCGCCTCCAAATTGCTTGCCTCTGTCATCCTTCACGGATTGACTGGCACACGTGAAAGCCAGATTCGTGAAGAGCAAGTCGGATTTCGTCGAGGTCGTGGCTGCATTGATCACATCTTCACCTTGCGTCAGTTGTTGGAGCACCGTAACATGTATTGGCGGCCCACCGTTGTCGTGTTCCTCGATATCGAAGGTGCATTCGATTCGGCGGATAGACTTGTATTTTGGGACTGTCTACTCAGGAAAGGTGTGCCCGAGAAATACGTAAATATTATCCAAGCATTATACGCGCGTAGCACGGGCAGAATGAGGGCTTACGGCAAGCTGTCGTCGTCCTTTAATATCTCCAGCGGTGTGATACAAGGATGCCCGCTGTCACCTTTCCTCTTCAACTTCGCTATTGATGAAGTCGTGGAGATTGCATTTACAGGACATGACTTGGAAGGTGTGGAGCTACTCCCAGGAGGACGACATTGCCCTCATCTGTGACAACTCTCAGACGTGCCAAGCCGCTTCGGGCTTTGCTTTGCACCATCGAAATGCAAAGCGTTCCTCCAAGATTGGCAGGGATCGCCTCCTGCGCTGACCCTTGGTGGGGATCAGCTAGAAGTCCTTCGGAAATTCCACTACTTGGGAAGTTGTATCAGCGCCTTTGGGATCAAAGATGAGATCTCGAACCGTTTAGCAAAAGCTCGAGGCGCTTTTGCTAACCTTCGCCACTTATGACGGCGGCGCGACATCACTCTTGCCCTGAAGGGTAGAGTGTACAATGCAGCGGTACGATCGACCCTACTGTACGGTTGTGAAACCTGGCCCCTTAAAGCAGCGGACCTGAAGAGGCTAGTTACGTTCGACCACCGGTGTCTTCGCAATTTAGCTCACATCTGGTGGGAACACCGCGTGAGCAACGAGCATGTTCGACGCCTTGTTTAAGGCACAGAATAACGAACTGAACCGCTCAGCACCGTCATTTCACGCACCAGGCTCCGATGGCTGGGCCACGTGTTGCGCATGCCAGCCCACCGACTTCCGCGACGTGCATTGTTTGCTCACCGGGGATGTGGATGGAAGAAGAGGAGAGGTGGCCAAGCGATGACTTGGTCGAGAGGAATGAAGGCCCTCACTTCGGAGCTAGCTTCGGTTGGAGCGTCTCGGCTCCCTGGTTGGGGTTCGAAAGACGATGAACACGTTTGGCGGGATGCACTTGCTTATATGGCAAGGAGCCGACCTCAGTGGCGTTCGTGCTGTGAGTTCCTTTGTCCCAACCCATCCCTCTTAGCCTCCCCATCCAACCACGATATCACTATTTAGCCTCATAGAATTTTGTATTGTAAATTTTTTAA